TAACAATGTTGTGGATTGAAAAGGTTGGTGCAGTTGGAGGACAACTTGTTGCTGGATTTCAACCCGAATGTATGATTTGCAGAGAAACAATCAACAATGGAGAGGTTTGTATTGGCATGAGGAAGGTTCATGATTTGGCTATTCACTTTCCCTATCATCCGAGAAGATTTCTCGAAGAAGAGGAAAGGCTTCGTTCCGATGATCATCCATTCAATGAAAATTATTTTGATGATTGCAAACAGGACAATGATTATGTACATACTGATTGTTATCCGTACCAATTGGTGAGGCCGTATGCTTGTATGTTTGATGATTCATCATCGAATGCTTCTCATGCAGAACAAAAGCAAATTCATAAGTTGATTTCTGATTGGCAATATGGCTATAGAACATTGAATGCCAAGACAAAGAAGAGAAAAGCAGATAATGGTGATGAAAGTGAGAAGAAAACAAAGACTTCAAAGAGTACTGCAACAAAAAGGAAGAGAAAGACAAAGAAGGAATCAACAGACAGTGCATCATCATCAACTAGTACCCCTGGAGGAAGTAGTAGTGGTACTACTGATTACAGTTGGATGAATGCTATTGATTGCACTAATGTGGATTCACCTTACTTGTTTGGACTCTCAGATGATGCTTGGTATGAAATTCTATCCTATCTACCTCATTATTCAATTGTGAAGGCCTCACAATCATGTAAGGCATTGTACCTTTATTCGAATAGGAGTATTCTTTGGGAGAATTTGGCAAGCAAAACTATTTGTCCTAATGCAAAACAAGTCCAACAGGAATACTTTCCAACTCTTACTGATGACTTTAAAAAGGTTTTCAGATTATTGTACAATAATTGTTGTGTAATTTGTGGAGATTATATCAGAAAAGGTGAAGACCTAGATAATAGAAAGAGTTTGTACAGATCAAAAGGTGGTATTATTGTAGAATCTAATCCATTTTATTATAATTTTATGATTGATCAGTGTCATTGCTCAACATGTTCAGAATCACCACTCATCAATACCTTTACAAGAACAAATGCCAAGACGCTTTATAGGGTTACAGATACTGAACTAGGGTGTACTAGAAATTTTGCAAAGCCTAACCCTTATTCTCCATCTGTTGCTATGGGAATATTCCTAGAGTTACAAGTTAAAATATTTCATTTACAGAAAGTGGAAGAAGAATTGAGGAAAAATTTCAAAAAATCAAAAACACATCCAAAATCAGATTATTTAAAAATTATTGACAAGGCAAAACGAGGAGATTATGGAAAGGATTGTAAATTATATATTTTCTTAAATGATTCGAATAAGAAGATTTGTAAAGATAAGGCTATTTATACTTATATTGATGAATTGAGTCCATAAGTCAAAAAAAAGATTTGAGATTCTATCATGGTATTTATTAAATATTTACAACAATTTTTCCAACAGTTTTCTTTGATTTCATCATTTGCATTGCTTGTGTCGCTTCATCCAATTGGAAAACATTTAAATTCATCAAGCTGAAATTATTATCAGGTGTCAAAATGTTATGCATAAGGAAGGCAAATTCCTTTGGCTTTTTACCAAAGAAATTAACTAGACCATATTTAGGCGAACCTTTTGAGATTAAGGCAGAACAAATGGTTGTTATCATATAATAAGCAGTGGAACAAATGGTTGAAAAATTGAGGGCAGCAGCACCTGGTGGAACTAGACAAGCATACACTACTTGATCCTCTGCTTTTCTACAATCCAAATGTTGCTTGACATCATCATAGAAATAGTAACCTCCAACACAATCTATAACCATATCGACATACTCTTCACCAAAGTCTCTTCTCAATACTTGGCAGACACTTGGTAACCCAGAAGTACTCGATGAGTGATATTCATTATTTCCATCCTTTGCACTTGTTTTGGTATAGTCAATTATTTCATCAGCTCCCAAAGATTTAACATATTCAATATTCTTTTCTGAACACACAGCATAAATTGTCAAATCCAAAATCCTTTTCAAGAATTTACTGGCCATCAATACAGCCATACTTCCGCAACCACCAGCTGCTCCAATAATCAACAATTTGAATTGTTTCTTTGGCTTTTCACTTGAATTAAGCAATTCTGGCTTTTCCATACATTCCTTAATCAGAGCATCAATCTTTGGATGATGTGTATAGGCAGTAAATATAGTTCCACCAATTGTAGGAAATGCAGCAGCTTGCAAATCAGTCATTTCCTTTGGTTTCAAAATCAAATCATCCTCCTCAAATTTACAAAACTCTGCCAAGGTTCCAGTTTTGGCACCAGGTAATGAACCAACCACTTCATCACCAACTTGAAATTTCGTCACCAATGAACCAACCTTTTCAACAATTCCACTTCCGTCCAATCCCAAAATTAATGGAAACTCCTTCGGAAAGAGCAATTTTACAGCTCCACTCGACATGTGGCCATCACCAGCATTCAAACTAGCAGCCTTGATCCTAACTAACACTTCCCTCTCCTTCAAATCTTGATCATTCAATTCAAAATCATTTCTTGATACAAATTCAGGTGATTCGGAATAACCTTCCAAAATTTGAGCTCTCATCTTGGTCATTTTGTTATTTCAACTAAAATATTATTATATTGTTATTATTATGTACTATTGCTTTAGGGACAAAATCTAATGATCAAGTAAAACTTGTTATTTGATGTTTGCGTATTTTTTTTTCTTACTTTTGAATGAAATATTCATCAGCGCACTATTTAAGGTTTTTGGCGGGAAATAATTGTCCTGCATTAAATGAAACACGTGTTTCACATAAATTCAATCAATTGATACTTGACTAATTGGAAAGTGAGATGTGAATGAGAAAGAATGTGGAAGAAACACGTAAACCACATCAAAAAACATGTGTTTCTTCTATTTGGTTTTTCACTGGGATGTAAATTTGAAATTGATTACAAAAATAAATTACAAAATTGTTGTAAGTTTCAATTTTTGAGCATGTATTAATTTTATAAACCACAATTTGCTATTCATTCCAATAGAGATCAATTCTACTACCTCGAAAACTATGATTATTTAATTGGGAATTACATTAGTTTCTTATAAAAAGATGCTTAGACCTAATTGTCAACCTTTCTGTCGTTTGTGAGCACAATCGTGTTCAACAAAGATGGCTGGGTTTCAATTAAGGTAATGTGGTGGTGTGAAATGTTGTCATGCCGATTGATGAACTGCTGTAATTCTTTTAACTGTTTGCTGAATTTTAATGTTTTTTACTGAAACACTATTAAAGTTGATTTCTCTAATTCTGAGCAGGTTGAAACAGCATCTTCTTGTGAAGAAACATTGGAACAAAGTTAAAGGAAATGGATCGAATGTAACTACATTTTTTTGCTTAAGTAATATTCTAAACAGAAACCTTTCCCTTATTTCCTTTCTTGTAAATTTTTTGAAAACATTAATTTTATTTACAATTTGATAATTCATTGTAATAATTCAATGCGACATTACTTCTTCATGATGCTCTTCAACAGTGTGATGTTGGTGAATATTCTTTGCCAAATAAAACCAAACAATAAATAGGCAGAAAATCAACCAAGAAAATACAAACATTACCAAACATAGTAATTGTGGTGTTAAAATTCCAAAAATATCATACAAGAAAGGAGAAGGAATCAAAACACCAATGGCTTGACCTATTCCATATCCAAAACAAATATCAAAAGCTGTAATTCTTCCCAAATAATGATTAGGTGTCAAATGTTCGATTGATGACATGGAATAAACCCACATGACACCTCCTGCTGATCCAATAAAGAATTCAGCAATAATAAACATACTGGCATGGACACTGAAAGACATGAGTAAGAATGCAGCTGGGAAAACCAAGAAAGATCCAAGAATTATGAAACGAGTCCAGAATGCACTCCTCACTGATCTTCTTATACGATTTCCAAAAGTTAATTCGAATAACATTGGAGCTAAACCTGATCCAACGCCAAATAGACAGTAAGCAATGGTATTAGTGAGCTTGGCTCCTCCTTCATCATTAAATAATTGCATTGATGGTAATTCGGATAATTTAACATTGATAAATTCAATACTGGCCCAAACTGATGATCCCAATAATTTCATAACAACAAAACTCAACAAGTAACCCTTTCCACTGAATAATAACTTGAAGCCAGCAATTAATTCCTTCACAGAATGTTTCATCATTGGTAATGGTTTAGTTGGGAAATCGGCTGGTTTCGGTGGATTCAAATCAGGGAACCACAACAAGGCAATTGACAATGCCAACGCAATCAAGAACAAAACTCCATTCAATACATAACAAGTAATCAATCCAAATGCAACTCTCACAGCTCCACCAATGGCACCACCTGTATACGAACAAAACAACCATGTCAAACTATCCAATGCATTACACGCGACCAAATCATTGTGATCGACACAGAGTGGCATCATGCATCCTCTCGAAGCATCATAAAATGCATTAAGGAAAAATATTAAGGCAAGGATGATGTAATAGAAGGAGAAGAGGACTGCCTTATTTTCCATAAAGCAACCACCAATGAGGACGAAAGCTAGAATGGCTCTCAGGACATTGCAGACAATCAAGACCTTTCGTCTATCGAAAATATCAGAAACTACACCTGCGAATGGAGTAGCAACACATGACGGTAAAAAGATACAGAGAAATACAGCACTTGTGGCAAATCCAACAGTTGTACGTTCTTCCACTTCATAAGCAATACCAATTTCTGAAAAGTAATTTCCCATTCCTGACAAGACACCTGCCATCCAAATAATTAAAAATCTCTTATTATGAAATAGAAGTGAAATATAGGGATTTCTTGCAAGTTTCGGCTTTGAACTTTCCTGATCCAATTGTGCATAGTTTCCAATAGTATGTGGTGCTTCCAAACTTTCCATTGACGGTCTAGGTTCAGAGTTTAGTTCAATATCGTCCAATGATTTTCTAGATAAATCCTGATCATGACTTGTCGCTTCATCATGATCTTCAATGGAAATCCTCTCTCCACCTGCAACCACTCCTCCATCCTCTTGATTCCAATCTTCATCTCCTCTTGCATGTCTTTGTTTGTCCATCACTTTCAATTCTTCTTCCATTTTTGTTGTGGTCACAAAATTGTAAATATTAATTAAAAAAGATGTGTTTGGTTATGTGGTGATAATTAAACAAGTGTTGGTTGTTGTGTTGTTTTTTTTGTTTTTTGAATTGGCGTAATTTTAGAATCCTTAAATAAATTCAATAAGTCCTAAGGACCGCGGCTTTGCTAAACGTTGCTCGTCCTGCATTGTTGGACTTTACAATGGAAATATAATTGGAAAAGGCGACAATTCAGGTAACAACAAATATATTATTAAATTTTCGATGCTGATTTATCAAATCTATTTGCATTCTAATTAAGATAATGGAATGTGTGGTTTCATTGGAAGTGTTGGCAAATGAAATAATAAGAATTTTGAATTGTAATTTCACACACAAATTTATTTTCTTTCATATCTTCTAAAACGAAGGGCAAGATAAATGGCAATTCTCAAAATTAGTAACATTCCCAATAGAATGAGAACGTTACCCCAAATTGGAATATGATTACTTCCTTCAAAGAAATAATTAAGAGCTGACTCTCCAGATTTGTAACATGCTTCAGATGCAATGGCAGATACAGTTTGATTCCAATTGAGTTCGGAACACAACTTTTCAGTGTATGGTTCAAGTGAAACAAGTTGATTTCCAATCGTGATGGCGCTTCCATTATTGAATGAGCAAATTTCAGTCATGTTAAAACTTGAGAGTGTTTTGGAAGAAGTAGAGCATTCAAAGGCCATTCTACTCAACTCAACCTGTGCCAATGCATGCACAGAATATCTGAATAAACTAGTGTATGCAAATGGATAGAACCATCCTCCGATTTGTGTATTTCTTATAAGGAAACCACTGAAACACCTGTCATAAACGTTAAAATTAGAAATGGTCAGTCCAATACGTATTTAAAATGTCCAAACTTACATCCAAACAGTCATTACAACAGATATTACTAAATTTCCAACATCTACTGATTCAAAGAGGGCTCCAACAAATAATCCAATAGATTCACTCAACCATTGAACAATAATCATAATACCAGCAAAAATGAAAAAGTTTCCAGGATTATTTTGAAATCCAATCAGCCAATAGGCACAAATTAAATTCACCACTGGAAAAATAGCTTCCACTGGTATGTGAACAATAGAATAGGAAGCATAATAGGTGAATGTTCCATAGAGATTTGATTCTCGTTCTCTAGTGAAAAGTAATCTCTGTTGAGGGAATGTAGCCACAACTGATGCTGCAGGAACAAATGAAATGGCAGCCACAATAAAGAAAATAGCACTAATTCTATCAGTGATACCTTGTTGATCTGTAGCTAGTTTGAAATACAAGAGTCCACAAAATATTCCAAGAAATACAGATTGAAACAGTTCAGAAAGTAGAATCATTGGATCTCTGAATGTTGTCCTCAAATTTCTATAAATTAAAACCAAAAGTTTAAGAATATTCTCCACCAAGTAGGCATTGAGTGAGAATTTGTCATCATCCTGCGAGTCTGCTTTGCTCAATATGGTATTGGATGGAGATTGATACAGATTACTATAAAACTTTGCAAGCCAATCAATTCTATTCTTAATCACATCCAATTCGTTTGATAATTGTTCCTTTGCTGACTTTCCTTCATTATCAATCAAAATTTCTATGGCTGATTCAGATTTTTCTACAGCATGCAAATTGATAGCAGAGGCAGACATTAATTTTTCTTGCTTCAAGAATGGATTAGAAACAATGGAAATGAGAAAATCTGCAGGATTGGTGTCCTCTGGCATTGGATATCCAACCATTTTCAAATAGTTTTTAACTTGAGCAACTGGTCCTGAATAAACAAGTTTGCCATGTGCCAAGAGGATTACATTGTCGAATAAGCTAAACAATGCTGAAGAAGGTTGATGTACAGTGGCAACAATGGTCTTGCCTTGATCGTGAGCCAAGGTCTGGAGCTTTTTTCCAATTTCAAGTGCTGTATATGAATCCAATCCAGAGCTATATTCATCCAACAATAACAAATCTGGATTATTAATTAATTGAATAGAGAGTGAAGTTCTCTTTTTCTGACCACCTGAGGCTCCCTTCTTTTGTTCAGTTCCAATCTTAACCTTCCTATGTGAATAAAGTCCAATATCATTCTCTACTTTGAAAGTTCTCTCACTACATGATTTCCAAATCTCAGTCAACTTGTTTCCCTTTTTGTGTTTGTACTTGAGCAGAGAAGATTCCATCAAAATTTCATGAATCGAATCTGTTGCCCTTTTTGAAAATTAAGTTATTATTCTTCTCAATACTTACAGCAAAATATCATCCTGAAAGACATAGCCACCTTGCTTTTGAAATAATTTCTTTGTCAATGGTTGACCTTTAAATGTAACAGTGCCTGTACATTCCTTAGGATTCGAAACTCTTCTAGAAATTATATCTAAAAGTGAACTTTTACCACCTCCAGAGCCACCAATTATCATTGTGAGTTGACCAGATGGTATTGTACATGAAATCTCACTCAAAATTTGTTTCTTCTTCTTTTTAAATCCTAAACCATCTAAAACCAAAGCATGTGTTGAATTGTAATTTGGTAACTGAAAATCAAAGCCTTGTTGTTGTTGATTTTTAATAACAACCACTTCATCTAATAAACTACCCGATGATGAGGATGAAGTTGTTGTTGTGGTTGTGTTTGTTTGTTGTTCTATAAGAGCCGATGATGAGGCTTGTTGCAATTCAATTTCTCTAGTCATCATTGATCGGAAGAGTATATATTCTTTTTTATGATTTAATTTTAATACTAAATGGCCGCTTCTTAAAGGAATGTGGTTGATGAGATGATCCGTTCAATGTTTATGTTGGATTCATGGTATTAATACTAGAAGCTTCCAGCAGCCAGGACATTCTCGAGATGCATGTGCTCGGAGTGGCGCCAATTTATTTCTAGTTTGCCGTTACGATATTTGAGTTTTTAATTAGATTTTTAAAATATTTATTTTAAAAAGAAAAAAATGGGTGACTGCTTGCAGCATTATGTTTGGCTAGATTTATCATCATTGTCGATAAATAAAACCTTCAATATCACACAATCGTGCGTAGTATCTTTTCATCAATGATGGTTCTCTTTCTTGCAACTTGTTCCATACTTCATCACCACTATAATCGGAACACTCGAGGAGGTACTCCAAAAAGGTTAAATCCAAACCACCATCACGAGCATTGAACATGGAGTAATAGACACGTTCATCATCATGAATACCAATTTCCTCTGCCTTAAATTTGGGAGGAAGACCTCTATAATTGCGAAATAGCTCGAGCATTGCCACTAATTTCTCATAAGCACCTTCTCTTATCTTGGTGATGATTATTTGTCTGATGAGCTCGGTTTGATAGGTCTTGTATGGTTTGGATTGGAGGAAAATATTAAGATAGGGTTTCACCTTTTGGAATGATTCATATTCTTGATATTGAGAAAATATATGTTCCAACTTGTAATATCTAACAATGTATGCTTCTAGTTGAGGATTTTCAATATCAAATATTCTTTCACATTTTCCAAGTCTCTCACCTAAAAGTACATATACTCCTCTTGGTGATCTTTTTGAAACTTCCTCAATTGCAATTTGAAAGAAATCAAACCTTGCATTGAATAATTCTGAGAGGTCGTGACGATATGGCATACGTAATGAGATACGTTTCATCATTTCACGAAACAAGCAACAACTACAATCTTCAAGATTTGGTATCTGGGTAATGGGAATCTTTTCAAAGAGTTCGAGTGTTGGATTTTTTAGTATGGAAATTTCAATGCACTCTAGGTCATAATTGACAGTTTTCAAAAGAGCATTATGAAAACTTGATCCATAATTGAAATTCTCACTTTGCAGTACCCTCTCCACTCCTTTCGAATAAATATGAGACAATTTCGCAAAGTTTACCAAAAAGTCCCTTGTACAAACTTCCATATCACTTCGAGGAATGTAATTCAAATTCCTACAAAACAAAATTTCCTTAACATCTTGACTATTCAAGCACCACTTAATTTCTTGAAAACTAATTCTAAAGTGGTGAAACAAATAATACCACTCATGTGCCATTATTCTCATCAGAACAACCTGACAAGAGGCAACATTTTCCAAAAATTCATCATCCTCCAATTTCCTTCTCAATTGTTTTGCTCTCTTCTTATAGATTCCTCTCATTCCCTTCGGACTCTGCTGATAATTGTGAAAATCATCATTCGGAAGAATTAATTCAGACTCGTGTTGAAGAGAGGAGGCTACTAAATCTTCATATCTACTAGCTGTCTGTTCTAGAAAGCATCTAATATGTCGTAGCCAATTTATTTGTTGTGTCTCAATGATGGAGAACCAATTCTTGTTAACCAACGCTGCTCGGAGAAGTAAATCACCAAGTGGAAGGAAGGAAAGAATTTCACTGATGCAATCATCACCTGGTTCAATCATTATTTTTTTTTGTAATGTTTTTTTGTTGATCTTTTCTTAATTGAATGTGAATTGAATAGTTTACAACAAGATCCAATCGTGTGGAATGGTTTATTAAATAGATTTAAAGATAAAATGGATTGTTCTTAATGCTGTCTTTAGGATCATTTCTGGTCAAACTTTTTGCGTCATTTGACTTTTTGGCATGTAATAAGCAAGTTGGCATTTTGACAGATCCATTCCAATTATAATACAAATGAGTTTGAAGGTTAGCTCAATAATAGTATCCAAATTAATTTTAAATTCTTTTTCTTCCTTCACAACCTGTATCTTCATATTTTGGTAAAAGTTACTTGACTTTTGTTTAATTTCATATCTGACAGGTTTGCTCTGTCCCATGTTACTTGAAATTCTACAAGAATTCAAATAAAATTCTCAACATCAACTGCCCCAAACTTTTGTCCCTCATCAAAATCGAATTATCAATACTCGGATGCTGTCAATTTGATTAATGTGTTGAATTCTAATCAAATCCATTCTTTGTCAGTGGTGAAAGCTATGGTATGTTTCAACAAAATATTTGTCGATCTAAATTGACTATTTTCAGGTGGTAATTATGTTCCATTGCTCGCCAGAGAAATTTTAAAGTACAATACTAACAGTCAAAAGAAGATTTCATTCAAAGGATTGAGTGTTGGTAATCCAACAATGGATAATGATTTGGATGCTAATGCCTATCTCCCATTCATGTTCCATCATGCTTTGGTTGGAAGTGAAGAATTTGATCTCTATCAAAAACAATGTCCAAACTTTAATACGGCTTTGATTGGTTGTACAATTCATACATGGATTTATTTTTATTGGAAAGGTTACAATTCCAATAAAAATAAATCCTTTCAAATAATAAATATTTCATTGAAAAATTATAATATCCGAAAGATTGCCATCAATTACTCTATTCTTAAGATTTTCTCCTTGTTCCTTCAGATTCTTTGATTCTGAATTTGTTTCCCAATAAGCAATTAAATTGTCTCTTGCTGAAGTTATTTGAAGATGTTGATTTGGTTTTGGATTGGTAACTTTGTGAATGAGTTTGAATTTTGATTGAGAATCTAAGGAGTAAATTTGTGAATTATTGATCACTAGGAAAAAGGTTTTGTTTGAGCTACACATTCTACAGGAAATAACAGGTTCACCACATATTTTAGCAAGGTTGCTATGAAACTTATCAACCAAATATAAATTGAATTTGTCTGGAAATGTTGAATAAATTAGTAGTATCTCAAATATACTTACTTGTGAGATAAATCCAACTGTAATAGGATGCACAAATGTCTATAAAGTATTCATCTTCTCCCATTAAACTTATTGGTGCCAATTGTTTCATCATTGGCAAATTATTACCATTATTTCCCATAGAATATCCACAATAGAAAATATTGTGATCCCTTGTTAAGGCAATAATATTGTGATCTCCATTCACTGTCTTGGTAAAGAAAGGTTCTTTGCACTCATTGGAAGGGTCAAGACAACAACATTGGATAGCTGGAATATTATTATCACTAGATGGTTGAGCTATCTCAAAAAATTGATTACTTCCACATGCCAAAAGCCTTCCATGTGATGTCAGAAAACAACAAGTAAATGCAGCACATGAAGTCTTTGTAATAAATTCCCCATCTTGTAATTGAAAATCCTCCAAGCAAGTCCATTCAATTTCTGAATTCTCAATTCCACTCTGTGAAAAAGTCTCAACTCTTTCTGTAAATTTTGTTTTCCTCACTCCAAACTCATTCCTATTCGCTGAATAACAAACAAACACTCTCGTTCTAATTAAATTCATCCCACCAGTACTTCCAGCACCACCACCACTAACAGATTGAAGCACCAAAACACAAGCATGATAACTGACACTAATATTCACAATTCTTTCATTTGGAAATTTAAAGCTAATTTTATAATATTTCCAATTCCTGTTTTTATCAAGAGAAAATACTTCATCATCTTCCGACACTACAAAACAAGTTAATTCTCTACAGGAAATAAATTTAATTCTCCCAAATCGTTGCAAGTAATTGTTCGGAATGTTTGATGTTGGTTGATTTTTAAATCGGCTACTAGTAACGGTGTTGGTAAAAAATTCGATGGAATCTTGATAATGATTGAAGAGAGAAAATGTTTCTGCTGTTAGATTTAGAGACATTTTTTTGTGAACTTTTACAATTTTTATTCCATGTGTACACAACTATATATTGTATTGCTGTTTCTGATCTAGTTAGAAAGAAAAGGAAAGGTAAAGAATATAGAAAGATGAAGAAAAAAAAAGAATTACAGCAGTTCATCAATTGGCACACAGATTTTGTGCCAACACATTACCTAAAGCGTAACCCTTCAATCAAAGGTACACGAGCTACACAATGACCGTCAGATTTTGCTTTTAGTCTGAGCATCTTTTTTATTAGAAACTAATGTAATTCCCAATTGAATTGTAATTGTTTTCAAGGTAATAATCATGAACGCAATAAGAATGAATATCAAATTGTGGTTTTATTCTTTTTAAAATGTTGCACATTTTCAATCCCCAAACTGAAACTACAAATTTTGCAATTTATTTTTGTAAGCAATTTCAAACAATCCATATTATTTGCGAACAACCTAATATTAGAATTGTTCTCAATTATCAATAGTCAGAATTGTAATAACTGATATTTGGATCAAGAGTCAATGATGACATTTGTTAAATTTTTTGTAAAGTTTCATGTTCCGATTTTCAAAACCTTCCAATCAAGCAAAAACGGAAGGTTTGGAAAATCGAATAAGTTGAAACGAAACAATTTTTTGTTTTCCAACACAAAAAAAAACTAAAATCTGATCACAACATAACAACAACAAGAAGCTTCTTTAACATGATGATGGACCCGGAAACAGCCAGGTTGAAGGCCTATTTTGATGATTATTACGATCAATTCATTGATGGCCACATGGATGAGAATTTTACTAATACCAATATTGACCATTACATTTCAACTCTTTTCAGCCGAATGGAATCAGATAAACCACCACTACCACCTGCGACTGTTGCCACTGAATGTGTTATTAGTATTGCAAATGAGAAGGATGATAGTCATAATTGTAACAATAAGATCATCATTGAATTATTAAGCTCCTTCTACTTGCAAACTCGTCGTGATCAACAAGAGGTTGAAATTTGTGTCTACTTTGAAAAAACAAATGCAGAGCAGTGGCAACGAGTGTTTACTGCCACTGCTACCCTTGAAAAGAAGGGTCGATATAATATGAAAGCTTTTAGCAGAAAAGAACTCAAGAAGAGGCTTAAAGATCAACCTGGGTATAAGGTAAATCAAAAAGACAAATTCTATTTAGTGATTGGTCAATTCAAATTCGTACTGGTTTCGAAACAACGTGATAAGGTACCAAAATGGCACAATCTAATTGTTGTCAGTAATAGAGAAGTCGTTTCTTCCGAATACTCTTTCACTAATTTCACTAATAAGGCCCTTATCCCAGAATTCAACTTTGCTAAAGTTAATGATCAGCTTAGCTTTCATTGATGAGTTCGATTGCCAATACTACTTATAATTAGTTTAGTTTGGTGATCACTACATACTTTATATATTCTATATGTATCCATTCCTCTATCTATCCATACTATATATATTACTATCTATCCATCCAAGAGTATTCGAAATTTCAATTAATGGTAGTGGTTGGTGTTATTTAGAACCCATTTGAATAACAAGCGAACCACTACCATTAATTGGAATTTTGATTGCTGCAGATGTTCATGCTAGTATCTATAATCCATCCTTATTCAAATCCAGTCTTATTGATTGGTAATTTTCAATTTTATGCATTAAAACCTGTAGGGACATCATCAATCAAACACCTTACAGAGTGAAAGATAACAAGGAACTGATCTGTGATTAGTTTCTTGTTGAGTGGACCAAAGAGTGAGGTTGTCCAAACAATAACATAAGGCAACTTCTCTCATCCACTCTATTCGAATTGCTGTTATGCCATTCGAATCACAGCTGTACTCATTAGGGAGCATTAGTCTATTTTCGATTAAGTAATTGAGTATTTGCAATCTGTTGCTTGTCGCTGTTGGTAAAGTTTCAGATAATATCATACTTATTACACCTTAGTGATAGATCCATGATTAGTTTTCAGTTTACTATTTAATTTGGGCAACTTACTTTCCTTAATGTTATTGTTTGGACAACCTCACTCTTTGGTCCACTCAACAAGAAACTAATCACAGATCAGTTCCTCGTTATCTTTCACTCTGTAAGGTGTTTGATTGATGATATCCCTACAGGTTAATGCATATAAAACTAATAAAAATTGATTCAAATCAATTTGAATTTATTTGTTTAATTATTTTTCCTTGAAAATCTTGGAAAATCTTCAAATTATTCTGCCGAGATTTGCAGCGAATATTGACTCCTTGTTTGAATATCAACCATAAAGAACAATTAGAATTGTTTCATTCAATTTTTCAATATATAGGTGAAAGAAAAAACTGTAAATTTGAAATTGATTACAAAAATAAATTTCAAAATTTGTAGTTTCAGTTTGGGGATTGAAAATGAGCAACATTTTAAAAAGAATAAAACCACAATTTGATGTTCATTCTTATTGAGTTCATGACAATTACCTTGTAAATATCACTATTCAATTGGGAATTACATTAGTTTCTAATAAAAAAGATGCTCAGACTAAAAGCAAAATCTGACGGTCATTGTGTAGCTCGTGTACCTTTGATAGAAGGGTTACGCTTTAGGTAATGTGTTGGCACCAAATCTGTGTGCCAATTGATGAACTGCTGTAATTCTTTTTTTTCTTCATCTTTCTATTCTTTACCTTTCTTTTACATTCTAACATCTCTGATATTCGAAACTTGAAAGTTTTCATTTAATTTCGAATTGATTGGAACGAAACAATCATTTTTGAATTTAATAGAACTTTCTCAAAATCAATCAATTTCAATTGACCAAAAAAATGTCTCAAGACAATCTCACAGATGAAGAATCGACATATTTCATTAGAAATTATCCATTAACTCATCCTTTCATCATGGCACACTATAAGAAACAACGAACCATTCCTGTATTGGCTGCTCCTCTTTCTAGTTTTGCAGTTAGTTGTGCTACCATCTCGTACTTTGCCTTTAGTTTAACCTTTCCCGAGAAGAGATTAGTAATGGATTATGTACATGATGAATATTCGAATAATGGAAGTGGAAAGCCCAGATATAGTGGTGGAATTGTGGATGTGGTGAGGAAGATTTATGCTGAAGAAGGAATTGCTGGAGTTTTGGGGAAGAAAGAGGCTGTAGCAGCATTGATTGAAATGGGAGCTACCATTGGATATTTTGCAACTATTGGAAATGTTGTGAAATCTTTTACTGTACCGAATAGTTGGTTAGAATTTGCTATTGACACTTTCTTAATGAATACTGTGATTCATCCAATTTTAGTCGTTTCGTTTGCCCTTCATAAGAGATTTGACGACAAAACGAAAGATAATAGGGGATTTATTGAGACTGCAAAGAAGATTTATTCAGAAAGTGGTGTGAAAGGATTTTATCGTGGTTTTGGTTGGTCTTTTTTATTCCACCTTGAAAAGGTTTACAAAAAAGGTTTAGCTTGGGTAATTCGTTCAGGAGTGGAATTTTTTCTTGACATTGAACATGAAAACTTGGATGCTGAAACACACTTTACATTGAAACATATTGAAATTAATTTAGTTAAAATCCTTTACGATGTGATAATGCCATTCTCATCATCCTTGGGTAGATATGTTGGAGATCAGGGAGCTACCTATTCCAATTACTTTGATTGTGTGAAAAAGACTTACCAACAAGAAGGATTGAAAGGATTGTATAAGGGTTCATGGGTGGCAATCTTTTTGTAGTCTATCACCAAGAAGCTCTTTACAAGGGTGTATTTTGATGTTAAAACTTTAATCCTAACTGTTCCAACATTTTTTTCATCTTTGCATGCTCCCTTCTCAATTGTTCCACTTCATCAATTTCCTCCATAATGATTGATGATGACTCTGCATTGTTGGTAGTAATAACTTCATTGAATGGAATGTCCAAATCTCTGAATCTTTCCTTCATTGATTCATAAATATCCTTCTCCTCAATAATGAGTGGAAAATTTTGTCCAAAATAATTTAGTGTTAGTAAATTGGCCTTTACAAGGAATGGATTCTCTAACAGTATATTGGTGGCCGTTAAGGTTGTACTCAATTTCTCATCTACCATTTTCTTTATGAGTTTGAAGAACATGGAAAATGGTTTAAAATGTTCAAAGTTTTCCACACATGCAAGACAATTATCGTAATATTCGCATTTTTCTTTCAATAATCTCAAAATTTCATCTCTCGACTCTCTATAGTTGTGAATTGTGGTGAGTGGATTTAATATTACTTCAATAAGAGTGCAGCCCAAACTCCAGAAATCAACTTCCTTTCCATAATGATGATTCAAAACGCTTGGTGATTGATATCTGGGAGTTCCGTTTCCATATGACGTAGAAAATTGAGCATCCACAATTCTTGCCAATCCAAAATCTCCTAAAACATAATATTTCAAATCATTGGTAAAGTGGAAGAGAATATTTTCTGGTTTGATATCACGATGGATCATTGAATGTCTTTCATGAATGTGAATGAAGGCATTCATTATGTGAATCGTCACATCAGAAATTAATGAAAGTAGATGTATGGCAAACTTTGAAGGAGAATAATCGAAAATTAATTTCTCATGGAAAATTTCAATTTCATCTCTAAGAGTTCCTCCATTCATGTATTCCATAACTAGACATTCAGGGTCACAATCTTTCAATTTTGTTTTACTTTTTACCAAGCTGATACAAGTAACAATGTTTGGGTGATATCTGCATTTTTCCATCATTTTGAACTGTTTAAATAATAATGACTTTTTAGTCCTCATAATATTGCTACTTACCTCATCGAATTTAGTTGTGCTCAATCCACTATCATCAAATTTGTAGAATTTGAAAACAAATAAACGTTTGGATTGGATGTGATAAAAAATGAATACTTTTCCTTGACTTCCTGTTTTCCCAAATTCCTTGATTTGCACAAATTCAGATTCCCGTTCTCTATTCAATAATAGAGATTCCTTTGATTCTCTTTCATTTTCGACAGTAATTATAAAGGGTGTTGGTTCAGTAAATGATAAATATTCATCACTCTCATAAGATACTTGTGGCCTTGATTCTGCATTTGTAATATATGCTGAAAGAAATCCATAGTATTTCCCTTTCTCAAGTTCTGAAATTGGATATTTATGGAATGGAATAGAATTTTGTGTTACCCATGTCAATAAATTGGTTTGTTGTGTCATATCCTCTTCCAATAGTGATTTTCCGTTTACCAAGAAATCAAGTATTTTGATAAGAACTCTTTCATAATATTCCTTATCACTTCCCTTTTTTCCATTTTCAATAACTCTGTAGAGAAGATTTCTTTGGTAAGCATCTTTCTTTTCAACAAGTTGCTTCACAAGCTCACCCAAATTTTCAGAATATCCCATCTGTTCCAATAAATATTGAGCCACTTTGAAATATCCGTGCTCGATGGCTAAATCTACTGCTCTCAATCCGTTTCGTGTCTTTGTGTCCATGGAAAGCTTATACTTTTCCACCAACAACTTGACTATTTCTAAAGCTCCAACAACTGATGCTCCATGAAGGAAAGTATTTCCCTCCAAAGTGGTCATGTTATTATCTGCTCCACGATCCATTAACCATTCAACAATATTGGCCTTGCCATAATATATCGCATAGTTAACAGGACTGGAATGTTTAACATTGGTAATTTGATTCATTAGCTTGTGCAGAGTTTCTTTTGAAAGTTTGGTTTCCAAATATTCCAAAACATTCAAGTGACCATGAATAGCTGCAGCATGAAGGATATTCTCACCATTGTTATCAATTTGTGGATCAGCGCCATGTTCCAACAAAAATTGAAGACATTCCAATTGGCCCATAGTACTAGCTTGCAAAACAGGTGGTTGATAGGGATGAGTAGAGAAGTTTGGATCCACCTGCAAGTCTTCTATCAAATACTTTAAAATATCAATTCTTCCAACAGAACAAGCAGCAGATAGGCATCTTTGTACTGATTTTAGGTTGGTTTGCATAAAATCATCTCTTCTTGGCAAAACCAATTTGAAAATAGAGACATCCAAGCTGTTGAGTGGCACATATTCTAGAGGGAGGTTTCCAGATTTGTCAATTTTCAATGCCAGATGAGGATATTTTTGTAGAATATACTCTATGAGATCCTTATTCTTTGATCCAATACTCAAGTGGGCAATATTCTTGTCTGCTTGGTATTCAACCTGTTCAGGATTAATATTTAATTCCTCGATAAGATACTTGACAATTCTTAAATGACCAAAATTGGCTGCCGTTGAGAGACAATCCAATTGGTTAAATTGACGTAATGTGAAAGTCTCCTTGTATTTGGTCAAATATTGTAATATTTCTAAATGGCCAAGTTCAGCATAAAGATTGGGAAAGTTTGCATTTGAGTTATTCAAATAGTAAAATCCATTCCTCATGAAATAATCTGCCAAATAAATATTCAATCCAAGTTCGGCACACCACAAAGTTGGATACTTGTTATTCACATCTTTGAATTTCTCAACTGGATATTTATCCCTATTTGAAAGGAAATAGTAGAGAATTTTCATAGATCCATACATGGATGCCAAATGGTAACATGTTGGTTTCCTTGGATGATTGGCAGGTTCTAACAATGAAATTTCATTATGAATTGAAAGAATGTACTCGAAAATTTCCACTTGATCATAAATTGAAGCTAAAAACAGTGGAGAATAACCATCTATATCTGAGCAAGAACAACTCAAGCCACCTTGTTGTTCATCAGCAATTAAATACTTGAAAATTGATAATGATCCATGCATGGCAGAATAATGCAAAACATTCCTGCCTCTATGATCTATAAATTGCAAAGCCTCCTTGCCAAATTTTCCAACCAATTGTTGGAAAAGGCTTAAATTATCATTCATTGAAGCAATCATTAGAAGATTTCTACCCTCGGAATCTCTCATATCCTTCAAACTCTCCCAACATTCTTCAATCCACTCGAGAGGCACCATAAACAACAAATGCAATGGATGGCACTCTTTGCAATCAATCACTGATTTTTCTGCTAATTTACACAATCTAACAAAAGACTCCTTCTCTTGTTTCACAATGGCATTCACGAACAATTGATGAACATTATCATCATGATTAAATTTCTTTACATTGATCAATATTTCAACCATTGATTTCCTCTCGGAAATAATCATCCAATCTAACCAATTAAAATCCACGAGAGAAATTGACAAATCTACCAACTTGGTCAAATAAAACAATCTCAAGATGAAATTTGCTAAACTTGACTTTCTTCTCGTGATTAACTTGTTCAGGTAATTGTTTAATTTTCCCTCCAACATTAAGTAATTAATTAAATTTTGATTTAAATATAAATTCTGACCAACATTGATTGTATGTTGCTCATCCGAACAATTTCTCAGCAAGGCATTGGGTGAATCCTCCACGTACGCCTTCTCAAAGAGTAGAATTTCAGTGTTGAAATGATCTTCAAGAGGTGAAGGAGTGACTTTTCTTTCCATTTTTTAATGATAGATGTTCTGGTCATCAAGATATGGATAATTATTGGTTGTCATTGATAAGGGAGAGTACAAGATGAATCCTATGGCTTTTCTCTTTGTTCGGATGTTTCTCTTCTTTCACAAGTTCTTGTTTGTTGGTAGGAAGGAAAAATTGAAACATTTTTTTCCAAGTTGAATTGATTAAGGCGCGAAATTTATTAAATTATTTTCAATTTAATAATTGTAAATACATGTATTGAAAGGTACTGTACATTATTGTTCATAGGTTACTCGGAAAACAATTCCTTCTTTAAATTCCCTCAGAGGATATTTAAGATGAGCTACTTCATTTCAAAAAAGTAAATTTCCAAGTCGTCATCCATTCGGAGAAAACCATCAACTCAAAGGATATTAAATACTCGTGTCCTAAATACCCTCTGCGCTTATTTACTATCCAATCAACTAAATGCATTTATGAACACAAGTTAGAGTGGAAACTTCAAGAAACAATTCAAAAAAAAATGTATCTTATTGAACTGTTGCTTGCAATTCTACTTGTCATTGCAACCATTATCATTGTGAGAGTTTATACGAGTTATAGAAAGGTTTCACACATTCCTGGAGGTTGGCAAATAACCAGTTTTCTATTTAGAATTCCAATTGTGGCAGAGTATGTCTTTATTAATAATCCGAGAAGAATTCTTCAATTGGTAAAGGAGAAGAGTGAGAAGGAGAATGGAAATGTTGTGAGAGTTAGTTTGATGGGTAGAAATATTGTCTATATCAATGATAAAGAGTTACTGAAAGAGGTTATTGTGACGAAAGGTCATAATTTCCCAAAACATAAGGCGCCTTATGAAGGATTTACTATATTTGGTGAGAATATATTGACCATTGAGGATTCTGCTGATGAAAATTTAAGAAATCATCACAAGGTTTGTTCCCCTGCATTCACAAATCAAAATTTGGAATATCTTGTAGATTATTCTTCTAAAAGTATCGGAAAGTTGTTCGATAGATGGCAGAAACAAACTAAAGAATACACAATCAATGGAAAAACTGTACAAGGTTACTCACCTGCAGATATCAAGAATGATTTCAGTGATTTGACTCTTGATATTTTAGGACAAGTTGGTTTTGGTTTGGATTTTGACATTTTCTCTGCTAATGAACATTCTGAAGGCATTGAATTTAGAAAAAGTCTTGAATTACTTTTCACAACTGGTGTATTTGTTAAATTATATGTTGGAATGAATCCTCTCCTTAAATGGGCTCATCCACTAGCTCAACAATATTTTGGAATTGACCATGCATTGAAGTATGTGAGTTCCAAATTGGATGACATGATTTCTGTGAGAAAGAATGAAATTGAACATCAATTTAGTTTATCTGGTGAAGGTTCTGATAGAAGAGACTTGTTGAGTTGCTTGATTGAAGCAAATTATCTTCAAAAAGGTTTATTGACTGATGATGAAGTCAAGTCTGATGCGTTTATTTTTTCGCTAGCCGGCCACGATACTACTTCAACAACCTTCCAATGGGTAAGTTTTAATTTTTTTATTGTTATTTAAATTTTTTTTATTTTTTTAAAATTTTCAAATTCCATAAATAGTGTTGTTATGAATTAGGAAAGAGATTGGATGTTCAACAAAAAGTTCGTGAAGAAGTCAATTCCATCTTGAAAGGAAGAAAGCCAGTCTTTGATGACTTTACCGAAATGAATTATTTGAATTGTGTTGTTATGGAAACTTTAAGATTGCATCCACCAGTTCCAGCTGGTTTCCGTGTGGCCAAGAAATCAACCAACATTGGAAAATATCAAATTCCAAAGGGTACCATTATTGCACTCGATTTGGCTAATACCAATTGGAATGAAAAACATTGGGAGAAACCTTTCGAATTTATTCCAGAAAGATTTGCTATGAATTTTGATGAAAGACAAAAAACTGAAAGTGATTTTACGTGGGTTCCATTCTCTATGGGTAACAGAAAGTGCATTGTAAGTTTGAAAATCTATATTTCATTTATTTAGGCATTTAAATAATTCCAAATTTGTAAATTTTAGGGATTTAAATTTTCCAGATATGAATTATTCACCCTATTGAGCAATATGATGCAAAAATATGAAATTATCACATTGAATGATGAATCTAATCCAAAAGATAGAGTATATGAAGTCCCTGGTCCAACCATCAATCCAGGAAATTTAAGATTGCTATTTAAGGAAATTTCCAATTAATTAAAAAAATAATTTAATAAATAAATTGAGAAACACAAGAAATCAAATCTTGATCTCAAGTTGAACTACCACATTTGGAATAAATCATCAGCATTTGTTGGTAACATTGTGAGTCTCTTCTTCTTTTGCTCTATAAAATCTTGCAAGTCAACTGGATCACTATTTGCTGGACTCACGTCACTTTTTCTTGGAGTTCTATTAGAAAAACTATTCAATGGAGTGGATGTAATCGTACCAGGTGTTGGGAGTGGTCTTTCCTTAAGAGGTTTTCCACTAATTTGAACGGTTGGAGTTGTTGGAAGATTCGTCTTTTCCTTTTCAAGTTCCTTATTGAGAAAATCATTTCGTTCTTGTTTAATCTTATCCATCAGATTGCTGGTGTGGAGAGTTTTAATGTTAGTGCCTGTTACTGTTGATGTGCTTGGTTTTGGTGAGGTTAGTGCTGAGCTAGTGGTATAGTCAACATTCGAATAAGATTTCGAATGGACTGGACTTGAAGGTAATTGTACGGATTCTCTTTCTTTTCTTATCATATTTTCCAATAATTCTAAACGTTTCATTTCTTCTTCTCTCAATAATCTTAACAATTCTTGTAAGCGATCTTCTTCAGAATTCGACCAATTTTCGGATGAAGAAGGTGTGAATCGAATAGACTTTCTTTCAAATAATTGCATTGCTTCCTTGTAATTTGATGAATCCAACTTTTCATTTTCAAATTGTTGCAATAATTTTGAGAATCTTTCTGTCATTTTACTGTCAGCTGTCGAGACATTCTTTCTAATATTGAAATTTCTCTTAACTCTGTCATGATGGAAAGCTGTGGTGGATTGTTGTTTTGGTTTTCTTTCAATTCTTGCAATTTTCTCGCTTACACTTGAAGTTGGTGGAGAGTTTCCTCCAGTTTCGGTTAATTGTTCGAAATTACCAATTGTCTTTCTGATGGAAGAATTAGTTTTGATATTTCTTGAAATTCTGTGATCCGAAGATGGGGAATGATTCTTTGGTGATGAAGATAAATTTGGTGAAGAGGACATTCTATTCAAATTATTATTCGAATGTGGTTTAATCATCACAGAGGAAGAATTTGAACGATTTAATATTGGTACATTCGAATCATCCTTTGCTGATGGTTGAGTTGGCGATGATCCTTGCTTTTCAAAAATGTCAATTCTTTCTTTCGTCTTGTTGGAAATCGAAACTGTATGTCTCTTATTCGAATCATCAAACTTTTGAGCAAGGGATGAAACTTTTTTCACTCCAGGTGACATGTTGTGATAGGATTGGTGTAAATTTTTTTCTTATTGGCTTGACGAAACCTTTCTAATAACTTTGCTAAGACTGCGGAGTGCAAAAACGACAATTTTTTGAGAATCATTGAAAAGGATCCAAGAACCAAATCAGGCCAATAATTAAAGGTATTTAATGGATATTAAACGGCGAAATGAAAGGTCCGAAAATCAATATTTTCAAAAAGAGATTCTTTAAGATTGAAGGTCATAATCTAATATATCAAACGGATAGTAAGGATTGCAAAGCTCTTGGTTCAATTGATTTGAGAACAGCTCTCACTGATATTGCTCCTGAAAAATCGAGTAATAAGAGAAAATATGTTTTCAGAGTAGAAATTCCAGGAAGAACCTACTTTATGTCAGCACCATCCAAATTGGAATGGAGAAGGAAATGTTATGGATTAGTTCTTTCACTTTCTAATTTGTTAATTTATATGAAGAACTGTAAAGCAGTTATTGTAAACTTCAAAATATTCCGCATTCCAATGATATTCTATTGAAAATTGTTGAATTTAAACTTTCCACTGCTTTCTAATAATAAATTGACCTTTCGTCCATCATCAACTCCAAATAGTTCATCAATTAATTCATTGTAATCAATAATTGTTCAACTTTCCACAAAAAAAAATGTCTCAATTTCCACTCCCAATCTCCCACTTTCTCATCCGAAACCAAGTTGAATTTCTTCTTCTCACCTCCGATGGTAAACTCTTCATCTCCCCTCACATGCACAATACTCGTCACATTCACATGATCCGATCACAATATTTACAAGATTTATCATCCGAAAATTTTTATATCACAATGACGGATAGAAATTTACATCAGAAAGATGTCGTGATGGAAAATACAAGTCTTGTAGAGTTTCGGTTGAAATCAATTGATTTGCTAAATGTGGAGAAGGTTAAGAAGATGAATGAGAATAGGAATGAGAAGGTGATTTTGATTAATGATGCTCATCAGGTTATTGGAAAGAATGTTAATGGAAAGGTTTCGTATTTGAGTGAAATGGAAAGTTTGATAGTGAGAGCATCAAGTTGGGAACCAATTATTTTGGAAAATTGGATATATGCTACAGAAATGTATCCTGCCTTGGATTTCTTATGGAATTGTGAGAGAGTGAGATGTTTCAGTGTGTCTGTGAATGGAAATATTTCTCTAGTCACTGAATCAAACTCAATTTATATATTTGGAAATGTGGAAAATTTTATTGGAAAGAAGTGTGAATTCAGAGGAGAGTACGAGAGAGATGGATTGAGATTTGTTCGATTGAGGCCACCAAAATTGGCCTGCACAAAGAGTCAATATTGTGAGAATGAATTTTCCACGAGTAATGACTTTCAAATCACTCAGATAGAATGTGGAATTTCACATGTTATTGTGCAATGTAAGAATAGAGATATTTATGTGGTGGGAGAAAATTCTGCCATGCTCATTGGATTGGAACATCGATCTCTGTATAGAATGTTAACTCCTCTTAGAATTTCTGTATTGAACGATCTTGAGTATGTGGTGCAAATTGTTTGTTTGACATCTTGCACTCTTTTCTTGACAAGTGAAGGTCGCGTCCTATTTACTGGATCGTTTAAGAGCAAATCAAATGGAATTGAAGTATTTAAACAACTAGTGGGAAGAGTTTCTAAAATTTCAGGAGAATCTTCATATGTCGCATTCCTAATGGAAGACAATCAAACAATTTGCTTGTTTAATGTATCTCTACGATTTGGAGAAATGATTTTTGAAACAAATTTGGAAAAGGGTCAAATTGCTGACATTAATTGTTCTTCTTCTGGAATTGAAATATTAACAAGTGAGGGAGACATTGAGAATATTTGCTTTTCCCACCAAGGAATGAAAGATATGGATGAAAACTATGGAATGATTCCAACAAAGGTGGTACCAGTCACTGTGAAAGAATGCTACAATATTACACCTTATTATTTCGAACACACAGAAAGTGACCTCTCTCCAATTCATCCCTGTACAAGAATTGCCCAATTTCTCATTTACAATCAAACACCATCCTACATTACAAGTATAGAAACAAGAAATGTCAAATATTTCAAAGAAAATTTACATTCAAATTTGAAATCCCTCTTAGAAACCTTCTCTGATATATCACTTTCCACAATTTAATCCTCAATCCACTCATCCCATTCAAATTTCCTCAATAAATCCTCTCCTAATCTTTAGTTCACCTTCAACAATGAAAACGCCATTCTTCAACAAGGCAAAAACTTTTCATTGTAAAATCTGTCGCCCCTCCTTCAACAATTTTTTGGTTGGTTCCAATTTTTTCCAACCGCTCTTGTTCCCGTAATCATCAGGGTGAATAATTGGTGAAAAATTAAAAAATACCTCAACAATATTTAACAAACTCTTTCCCGAATATATAATAATACCTAATTACAATGGCCAACAAGACTAAACGTCCACAACAACAAGATGAATGGGAAGATGAATCTACCCTCAAGAAGGTTCCAGTTACCTTGTTGAGTGGTTTCTTGGGAGCAGGTAAGTAATTTCACATTGTCATCTTTGTATTCGATATTGATGATGTTTCTTGTGATTGTGAAATGGAAATTGGATAGGTAAGACAACACTGCTGAGACACATCCTAAAGAATAGAAATAACCTCAGAGTTGCTGTAATTGTCAATGATATGGCTGCATGTAAGTAATTTCCCCTCCATTCAATTTTTCACACCAACATCATGGTCAATTGCTGCAAATTTTAACACAACATGTTGAAATTCAATTCAATCACCACCAACAGTGAATATTGATGAAGCTCTTGTCGAAAAATCAGGAGTCAAACTCAAACAATCAGAAGAGAAACTTGTCTCGATGAAAAATGGTTGCATTTGCTGCACTCTTCGTGAAGATTTACTCGTAGAATTATATGAATTGGCACAAGAAGGAAAGTTCGATTATTGTGTGATTGAATCGACGGGAATTGGTGAGCCAATGCAAGTGGCAGAAACTTTCACATTCGATGTTGGTATTCAAATTGAACAAGACGAAAAGAGTGGAAAGAGAAAGAAGAAGAACAAGAAGGAAAAGAAGACTTTCATCTTGTCAGATTTTGCACAATTGGATACTTGTGTGACAGTGGTAGATTGCAACAGTTTCTTCCAAGATTTGAAATCAGTCGAAACATTGGCCGAAAGATACAACAAGCAAAATGATGAAGAATATGAAAGAAATTTGGCAAACTTGCTGATTGACCAAATTGAATTTGCCAACGTCATCCTCTTAAATAAGACAGATCTCGTCACTCCGGACGAATTGACCAAGATTAAGGGTGTCATTTCCAAACTAAACCCAGACGCAACCGTACACGAAACCCAAAACTCTACCGTTCCATTGGAGAAGATTTTAAACACTGGACTATTTGACTTTGAAAAGGCAGCATGCAATCCAGGTTGGCTTAAAGAAATTCGTGGCTCTCACAATCCTGAAACTTTAGAATATGGCATCTCCAGTTTCGTCTATAGACGTAGAAAGCCATTCAACACCAAACTCTTATTCGATTTCTTCTATTCTGAAAAGTACATGCAACAAAACGTGCTCAGATCGAAAGGTTACTGTTGGCTTAATACAAGAAATGATTACTGCGGAGATTGGGAACAAGCAGGAAACCAAATTACCATCCACGATGGAGGACTTTTCTTTGCAGCACTCGGTGAAGAACAAGGAAAATCAATGTACGGAGAGGAAGTCTTTGAAAGGGTCAAGAAGGAGGATTTTAAGGACGGAGTTGGGGATCGTCGTCAGGAGTTGGTGATTATTGGACAGAATTTGAATGAGGAGGAAATAACTAAGAGATTGGATGCCTTATTGATTAGTGATGAAGATTTTGCTAAGGGAGTTGAGTATTATTCAACTCAATTGTGTGGTGATGAGGGATTATTTGCTCCGTTCAATAGTTTTGAACAAAATGAAGAGATGGAATGGGAAACTGATGAAGAGGAAGAAGAAAAGGTTGTACCAGAAAAAAAGAAGAATCAAAAGAAGAAATAAATATTTTGTAAATAATTAAATAATTTAAATATTTATTAAAAAAAATGAATGAAAGCGAAAAGAAGAGAAAATTTGATGAATTTAATGAAGCGAATAATTGTATTGAATCGTCATCAGCATCAGCACCATTAATTGGTTTATCTTCGGAAGAGTTTCATCTCCAAGTAGTAGAGGAAAATAATTTAAAAACTTCATCATCGGAAGAAGAAACAACGAAGAAGGCTTTGCCATCATTAGTAGATACATCCTCTCCATCATCAAAATTATTTACCATTCTCTATCAGGATAAAGACGTAGTCATCATTGATAAGCCTCCAAATTTAAGGCTCTACGCAAGTGAACATTATTCAATGGAAACGGTAGAAAAACTTGCAAAGGAACAATTTGCTTCCATGTTGATGGATAAGGACCCACAGAATTCTTGTTCTTCTTCTGGTAAAATTGAGGATGATAATTCTTGTAAAGGAAGTAATAAGAAAAGGAAAATTCAATCACGTACTGGTAGTAGTGATGAGAGGAAAATTAGATTTCCTCACCGATTGGATATGGCCACTTCTGGAGTGTTGTGTTTGAGCATGACAAGGGAGAGCTGTGCTTGTTTGAGTACAAGTTTTGAAGACAAGACGAGTAGGAAGTTTTATTTGGCCTTGTTGAGTGGAGATGTGAATTTGGAAGAGTTGAAAATGAATGAAAAATTGAGGAATAATGTCAAGGTCGTGAATGAAAATGATTGCTCGAAAATTATCATAACATCATTCATTGGAAGAGATGATGGAGGAAATAATGAAAATGAAGAGTATGATCCAACTGGAAGAGGATTTGTCATGAAACAAACATTGGAAAAACCTATTGAAGATTTGAGTAAATACAAGACTAAGCAGGAGAGACAGCAACATCAATTTAGAGAAGGGACGTCAGAGATGATCATTCTCAGTTATGGACAAGTGGAAAATAAGCCAGTTACAAAGGTGCTGCTGAGGCCACTCTCTGGTAGAAAACATCAATTGAGATTGCATTCACTCCTCTTAGGACATGCCATTATTGGAGATGAAATGTATGGAGAAAATGATGGATTTTCAAGATTAATGTTACATGCCTATTCGTTGCAAATTCCAATTGATAAGGAATATCTTTCAGGAGAGAAGAGTAAACGAAGTATCAATGTGAGAACACAAGATCCATTTGACAAGATTTATGTGGAAAAGCAAGTATTGGTAGATGAATCTAAATTGGTAGAAATTTTGGGAACTAGATAGTTATTAATTCTAGATAGTTATTCAAACTTGTTCTTGTTATGAAAATTTTATTAACAAATGATGGATAGGCATGCCATTATCAAAAGCGCAACCAAAACCAGAGAAACATGTGCAATAGGAGAGGCATGTGAAAGAGATTGAGACGGATTGATAATATTACTAACTTCTAGTTCAATATTTTCACCAGTAACAACCAGAGCATAACTCTGTGGTCTGAAAATGTAACTTGCCGACACCTTAATGATAATTCCAACACTGCTTTCATCAATCCAAACTTGTTCAACATTATTTCTAAAATCACGTTCTCCTGCTGTTGATCCAACACCACTATTCTTTTCCTTGAGTTGTGAATTTCCGTAATATTGTTGAGTTCCAACTTGTACCAATAAATCCAAATCATTGACAAGTTGGCTAGAGGAAGAAGGACTTCCTGGATAATCTGCCCACACCAATGTTATTTTCACATTTGAAATCTTATTCTTCTCATTCAAAGCTTTCAAATAATAATAGTGATAGGTTTTCACACTATCAATAACTGGATCTCCAAATTCGGTGGTAACATTTGTGCTTCCAACTTGAGTATTGAATCGATTATCTGTATTATGAATGTGTTTCACTCTTCCAATTTGAAGAATTCTCTTACTTTCCTCAAATGCAAGCACTTTATCCAATTGAACTCTTCCAAATCCTTGATAGAAGCATCCAATTTCAGTACGTGGCAAAATTTTGAAAGAGGTCAGATAGTCATTACTCACTGTCTGTAAATCAGTTCCAGAATTAATGACTGAGGCCTTCAATAAGGCAGATGATGGAATAAAACCATCCTGTGCTTGTTTCTTCTTACTTGGATAATAGCCCTCTCTGTAATATTGACGAACGATAGCAACAAGACCAGCTGTTGTTGGTGTGGCCATACTGTTGTTTTGTACAATTGATTGATAAATTAATTGATAGATTAAATACTATTTTCAAAATATTAAACTAACCTTGTTCCACGAGTTGCTCTGATGGCATCAACTGGCGATTTGTAAGTATCTGAACAAGTCAATCGAGGTGAATATTTTGTACTGCTGTATGATCTGGCACTCAAAACGTCAGCTCCAGGAGCATTCACGTCAGGTTTAATTCTCAAATCTGGTGTTGGTCCTCTACTGGAAAATGTTGCCATCGAATCAATTTGTAGACCTTTTGTATTGAGTGAATCAAAGACACACTTTCCACAAAACCTGTCTCCACTAGCACCAGCAGCACATCCACAATTTCCAGTTGCATAACTAATATTCGATCTGGCACAGAAACCATCCGTTGAACAAACATTGAAATCAGTCATGAAGAATGCACACTCCTCCACGGCAACACTACAATTGAGAGATGCCAAAATTTCCTTCCTAATATCATCCAAAGCAGGTGGTTGTTTGAACATTAATTCGTGTTCTCTTCTGGCCTGGAATGAATTATGACTTGCTCCAACTGCCAATCCATTCTTTGTTTGAGCTTGAGCTCCAATTGACTTGAATCCATCATTTCCTGAATTTCCAGCTGAGAAGAGAACTATCAAATCCTTGTGTTGCCAAATATATCGATCAGTGTACATGGCATAGAGATTGTAAGAAGTTCCTCCTCCCCAACTATTGGTCTGAATTCTACTATTCATCATTTCATATGTGAATATGTGAACACTCTTGTGTGGCTCCAATGGTTGATAGGTGGCACCTCTCCTCTGTGGACAAGTTGAGTTGGCATAACTCTTACAGGCACATCCTGGAATGGAATCACATGTGCATCCACCTGGTTTGGCACATCCCAATTGAACGAGTGCCAACTTGGCCTCTGAGGCAATTCCACGATAATCGTACAGTTCTGGAATTGAGGAATATCCAGCAACAGTTGCAGCAACATGAGTTCCATGATCATAATCATTCGAATTGAGATCGATTAAACCAAAATGCATTTTGACTTTTCGATGATTGGACGAAAGATTAATATTTGACTCATTCAGAGTTCTAATTTGCTCAACCTTCTCATTAGGATCATAAAAGAAACAAGATAATGTGTCAAACGTTCCATCCACAACAGTAATCACTTCATCTTTCCCAGTTAATCCATTAAAATATGATTTCCCCTGTTCTGGAACTGCATCCGATCCATAATTAATAATTCTCTTTGAATACTTGTTCATTTCATAATTGGCATGCATTGGTTCAATCCAAATAACTGAAGATAACTTTCCAATTTCATAAGCAATAGCAAGAGCATGGTCTTTCCTCACAGTTATGGCAATACTCTCAGAATGTTCGACTAATTTGGAAATTATCAATTGACCATTGTTAATGGATTGAGTGAAATGTCTCAATTGTTCACTCACTGTTTCAATTTCTTGATTCATTTCAAGGAGAATGGTCATGGAAATGAATTGTATTGGAGTTTCTTGTTGGGATTTTGTAGATTCTGAACTTTCTTGGGATTGAGTTTCTAATAATTCTTGATCTTGAAATTCGCCAATGTGAAACTTGAAAATTGGATCAATTTGACCTATCCATTCGATATTGTCATTAGAAAGTAAATCTTTAACATTCTCCAAGCTAGCTCTCATGGAAAATGTGTTCATTGCCAAATGCGAAACCTTTCCGCTTTCCAATAAACTTTCGTCCATTGAATTTCTCAGCAGAATTGGTTTCTCAACGTTTCTACATTTAAAAAGAATGTGGAAATTATAATCACCCAAACTGGAATGATCCACATTCCTTTCCTTGTTATTGTGAATGAACGGATTCGAATAGTGTAAATAATTTCTTCTAATTTCGTTGATATTTCTAATATTTTGCAAAGATGATAGAGTAAACATATTCTTTTGGTAAATATCATCCAAAGCCTTCATTCCCAATCTTTTCAAATTTTCTTCTCCTCTCAAAATCCCTCCATTCATACGAAAGGTTTCGTCTAATGATTTTGTCAAGTAATTACTTTCGTCTAACTGCAACTGTAAACCATCAACATTCGATGCTGCAAGTGTTACACTCCACAACATGCACTGGAAGAATAGAATACACAAGAGACCAAATAATTCGAAAGGTTTGGAGGACATTTTTTTTAACTTCCGAAATGATGTTCTCCTTTGAATTGTTTCATTGATTTTTAGGAGATATTTGTTTGATTTAGTTGGGATAAAAGGATGTTTATTGGTCGATTTAGTAATTGAATGGTTTATTGTATGTTGAAATTATTAGAAATGAAGAAGTTATTGACATGGGGTAAAATAGAGAACTTGTTGAATGTTTGTTTTTGTTTAACATTTTATATTCATAAAATGTGAATCGGGTGTGGTATAGTGGTAGCATTCCAGACTGTCACTCTGGCGACCCGGGTTCAATTCCCGGCACTCGAGATCAAATTTTTACTTCATCACTGTATTTTACTTTTCAATATTGTCATAATATCAAGAAAAGCATCTAATCTACCTAATTCTGAAATTTCATATGATCATCTCTTAAAACCATATAGAAAATAACCTCGTACTAAACTGACCTATTTTATTCAAAAATATCTTCTCTAATTGAACTTTGAATTTTCATTTTAAAAAAAATGATTAAACCCAATACCACATCGTCCCTCGATCATGAAAATAATCACAACTCCACTAGAAGTGTCATACAACAAGATGATTCGGAATCTAAACCAATCCAACTCTCAGAAAATCTGCATTTCAATTATTTGTACCTATCGGACGATGTAATTGGTGAAATTCTATCTTTTCATGATGATTTTCAATTTGTAGTAATGAATTGTGCATTGGTTTCAAAACAGTGGTTGAAAGTCATTTCGGAACGATCAAAACTTTCATTGGAATGGAATAACTTGAAGAAATTGAAGGGAAGATTTTTACAGAATATCACAACTTTCACAGTGAGGGCTATTGAAGGAATTGGATTGATTAGTGACATACTGAAACAATTGAAATTTCTGGATATTTCTACTAATGCTATTGGATATAAAGGAGCTAGATATATTGGCCAATTGGAACAATTAAATCATCTTGAAATTAGAAATTGTAATATTGGAGTGGAGGGAGATAAATATATTCGTCAATTGCAACATTTGACTCATCTTGATATTGGATGCAATAACATTGGTGATGAAGGAGTCAAATATATTAGTCAATTGAAACCATTAACTAATCTAAATGTTTATTTAAATAATATTGGTGTTGAAGGAGCGAAATATATTAGTGAGCTTAAACAATTAACTCATCTTGATATTGGGTGCAATGACATTGGTGGTGAAGGTGCCAAATATATTGGTACACTTGAAAATGTAACTCATCTCAGTATGTCAGATAATAATATTGGTTGTGAAGGTGCAAAATATATTAGTGGAATGAAACATCTAAGTTTTCTCGATATTGCTACCAATCGTATTAGAGATGAGGGAGCGAAATATATTGGTGAAATGGAACAATTATCATTTCTGTTTATGAGATACAATATTATTAGTGATGAAGGAGCAAAATATTTAAGCGAAAGAGGATTCAATAATTGTTGATCTAGAGAAATGCAACACACTCTAGTTTCCAAAAATGTGTGTTTAATGTATATGTTCAAATGATATATTTCAAAAAATATCATTCTCCAATAAATTTAAGACCAATATCAGATCTAATCTTATCCATAATTTTCAATGTGTTAATTGTTACATTAGACGAAACTATTTCACTCTCGAGTTTACTTTCTAATAAACAATCAATGACATGTTCAATTTCGTATGCAAGTCCTTCAGAATTAGGGAAATTAAATTGTGAAAATTCAGTTTTTCCATAAAGTGGCTCTTCTAATTCAATAGTTTCGTGACCTTTCGAATAATTTGTCCAAGTCAACTTGGTAGGACAACAATGCATACCACCTAAATGAATTTTACCTAAACTTCCATGAATAGTTGCACTACTATCCAAGAATGCATTAATACTTGTCGAAACCTTTCCAATTCTATTTCCAGAAAATTTAAATTGACATTCCACACTTTCGTCCACATTATTAACAAATGTTCCAATCGATTGAATAGTTTCTGGTGAGAAATCATTCATCACCATACAAACGAAAGAAATAGGATAAATTCCACAAGCCAACAATGCACCTCCTCCCAATGAATTTTCAATTAATCCACTATTCGAAACATGATTATTCTTAAAACCCAATTGAGCATGAATCAAATGAACCTGTCCAATCTCTCCACTTTCGATCAATTGTTTAGCCTTCTTGAAAAGTGGAAAGAATGGCATCCAATTAGCTTCCATCAAGAATAATTTTCTTTCTCTTGCCATTTCGAATAATTCACTAGCTTGTTTTTCATTCAAGGTAAAAGTCTTTTCGCATAGAACTGACTTTCCACTTTCCAAACACAATTTAACATTTGAATAATGTTCGGAATTTGGTGTTGCAACATAGACAATGTCAATATTCGAATCTTGCAACATTTTTTCATACGAATCGAAACTCTTTCCAATATCGTGTTCCTTTGCAAATTGATCAGATTTTGATGAATTTCTCGATGCTACTCCATAAATTCTACACTCCCGAATGGTTTCGTATTTTGTTGACTTATTTTCATGATGAAATTTATGCATGGATTGAAAAGCAAGTGAAAAATCATGAGCTATACGCCCTGTTCCCATTATTCCAAACGAAACTCGTCTCATCTCTTTAATTCACTCCACAGAAAATGTGCAATTCCAAATTGTTCCAATTTTTTTTTTCACTTTTGAAAAATCTTATTGTAAAAAATTTTTAAGAATCCCAATAGTGCGCCCTTCTCCAACCCTTATCATCCTGTGATGGAAGTTGTAAATGGATGCAGTTGATATCTTTGAGATGATGGATCAGAAAGAATCTTTCAGAGATATGCATATGAACAATAGACACATCTATGTCAATAAGTATAATTGGTGAGAGATGTGCGTTCGATACTTACTGCAGTATCGTTTACCAAATCTTGCAGATTCTTATTCCACCACCACCAAGGGAATAATTTCAGTTAGCATGCTTTGCCTCTCGAACAGCTGTAGATTTTTTTCATTGAATAGTTTTTTTATTGAATTTATCCTATTTCTTGGGATCACTTTACAATAATATATTATCGAAAGCAAGAAATAATAAAAAGAGAAGTGGTATATGATTCTTACATTTTGAAAACATCCTGCCAATCTTGCTCAGTTATTTCAATTTGTGTCTTTAAAACTGTCAAACGACATAATTATAAAATGGCTCATTTCCATTTATGTGAAAAGTTTAACAAAAGAAATACCTCAATGATTCGTAAGGAGATTCTTGATGATTCTTTTTGATATCTAAGATTTGGAATGATCGTTTATCCTGAAGTAACACCTTCAATCAAACTAAACTCCCAAGATTACAATTTTTTTCATTATTCACCATTGGTTGACCATTGAAATGATTCTCAATGGGCAGTGCAACAATATTATTGAAAGTTCTAGATGCAATTTTGTAACACATTCGTATTTACTTCTTTCCAACATCATTAGTGTTCCATACCGAATGTTATGTTCACATACCAAATGGAATTGTTGTACCTCCCAAATCATATTCAATAATCATTGTCATCTTTAACATGTTATTTACATATTGTATATTCTCTCATAAGAATCCATTAGTTTAGTTTATCCTTGGTTGACTTGTTGAGATTCTGTTTCAATAACTGTTCAGAACTTTAAAGATTTTCAGATAACACTTGCTAAATCATCAAAAGACTTCCTTGTTGTGTGAATTTTCTCACCAAACGTGTGAAAACTATCCATTAAAACCAAATTTCTTTTATTTAGACCATCACCTGCCAAAAATCAATAACAATCCCATTCAGAAACCACTAACCGTTTTATTATTGAATTTTGACATTTTTTCATAAATGTCTAGTTTTTATAAAAGTATCCTACCACTTTTTAGTATCACTTCAACCATTTTCATATCGACACTTGAAAGGTTTTCCTACGGAAAAGTGATGGACTTGCAATTTATTCTAATACCGAACAGCGCTTTGATCAAAAACCTCAAGAGCAACCTCGATTAACCAAGACTTTCTCCTCTTGCTTTTTGATTATATTTTCACAACAGTTGGTCGATGCAGAGATTTTGAGCGTTTAAAATGATCTTGGTGTTGAAACTCTGAGGGAACTAACACTTTGAAAAAAACAACTTGATACCCAACCATTCAACGGTTTTAATATTTTGTGCCGGCAATAACACACAACACTCAGAAGAAGAAGCGTTATCTTATATATTGAAACATTAATCTGTTGATCATATTATCAATAGTGATTTTGTGTGCGCTTTTATATTTGATTCATTATCATCAACAAGAAGACTGTTGTTGAAATTTTGCTACCTCATTAATCATTCCTTTTCCCTCTCCCGTAAATATTTATCTTTAAACGTTTGTGTTCTCTCTCCTTTCAAGAAGAAGCAAAAACCAGAAGAATAATAACAACAACAATACCTTTCCCTATCTCCCATCAACACGTGTAAACAGCCCTTTCAATATTTCAGCACATAATATTGCTAAATAGACCTCCCTGCTAACATTACTTCCATAATATACTACTCGAAAACAATGTCCTCATCAATTGCCCTGAATAATTCTAATACCTCTACCACTACTACTACCAATCCTCCTTTTGATATTTCCAAGCTTGTTACTCAAGCAGTTTTGTTACCTTCCTCCTCATCGTCATCCTTCCATAACAACCTCCCTAAATCATCATCATCATCCCCCTGTGCATTGGATAATAATACCAATGAACAACAACAACAACAACCATTGAGTGATGATTCGATCATTCTCGAAGAAACAACCACCACCGACGTTGATAATACAGTAATTGCCACCATAACGACAAAAGCTGCTCTAGGCAGTGGTGCTTTGATGGTTGAAGGAGTTGCCCTTGTCGACGATGAAGATGACGAAGAATCAACACCTGCCACACCAGAAGCTAATGGAGAATCCCAGCAAGAATCTTCTCAACAAGAACACCAAGAATCTGGCCTTTTAAAAGCCAAGAAGAAGAAGAATTCATTGACTAATAGTGCAGCAGCTCTTGAAGATTTGGAAACTATTTCAACCATGACAACTGTCAAGACTACAAGTACAACAAAGAAGGTTGTCAAGAGACATTCATCGCTCTCTGCTCAAACTATGAACCAAGCAATGGATCAATCAATGAATCAATCAGCTCAACAAGAAGAACAATACACCACTCTTAAATCATCCACTCCAACAAAGAAGCAGAACAAGGAAAAGAAAGCAAGTCCTATCAATAATCTCTTCAAATCCATCAAGGGTGTCATTAAATCTTTAAAGAAGAATAAGAATAACAAGAGCACTTCTAGCTCAACGACTTCACATAATAATAGCAAGCAAGATGGTGATTTAATCCATCAATTCTGTA